ACACTGATACACGAGACGCTGGAGCCTGCTGGAGCACAGTAATTACCATTAATCAAGTCTGCTCCAATGCACTGTAATTACAGCATGTTGGAGCAGCCTCACTGCTCGTGTATAGGTGCCCACAGTTTTTAGTGTTGCTTCATGTGCATTAGCCTATTTTAATGCACGTTAACTAAATAGCATGTTTTTTCAGTGATGCTTCAATGTGCATTAAAATAGGCTAATGCACGTTAAAGTGGACGTGTAGGCTCTTTTCTCTGGCAGTCACAGCCAGTCCATCCTCACCTGGTGTTTGAGAACAAAGCAGTCTAAAGAGTCTGACTGCAAGCAAAACTGACACTGACTTCTCTAGGAACTGCACTTTGGTCTATTTTTTAATAATTTCTATATTTCTAGTACTTCCAATATTTTCAAAATAGAGCTGGGCAAAATATTTTGGGCAGGCAGTTATACAAAATCTTTATTGACCGACATGTCCCATTTTGCAAAATGTACTGTTACTTTCTCAAATTTACTTGATCAATATTTATTACTGAGATATTTATCAAGATGCTATTGAAAGCATTGTTGGAATATGTGGTTTACTGAATATTATGCAAAATGGATCTGCTTTACACCCTCTAAAATAGAAACAGTTTGAAAAACTTTGAAATGTTTCATGTCAGAAGCAAGCATTTTTGGGGGGCAATATCTTTTCTTGGACCAACTACATTGTTGGGAGAGATTGTAGACACACTTTTGGGCACAAGATACTCTTCCTTGGGTCTAGGAAAGAAGCAGACACTGCTATAGCATCACAGCAGCACTACAAGAACATTTTTCATGAAATTGTTTCCTTCTCATAGACCACCTTGTTACATCAGCATAAATTGGAAGCTGGCATTTTTTCAAAATCTTGGATTTGTAAGTCAGACAAAGAAATGCTTTCCCTCCCCAAATTCATCCACAATTACTGGATGTTTTACCTTCAAAACCCAAACTAAATCGTCTTATGAAACTCTTGGCAGGGGGAAAGCCAAAGCAATTTGGTTTGCTGAAAAACTGGAAAGAGCTGAAAGCATCCGTTATGTGTTGCTGTGCTACCTGCGATACAGCAAATACTGCTTGGATGAAGGTTTAGCTAAAAATAATAGTCTCTGCTCTGGGTCTTCATGTCTACATCCTTCATTTCCAAGGTACTTGACAACCTAACCAAGCAGGTTTGACACATCATGTGCAGCAGCTGCTCCTCTACACCTGGCTGTCGACACCCCCGCAATCAACTCAGAAAAGCATGAGGAAATGATTAATACGATATTAAGCAAAATAACTGTATACATGAATAATGATATGTATTGAGCAAAGCCAATAAACAATTACTGTTCACTCATCTCTATGTGAAGTTTCCCCTGGTTTAATCATTGAGGTCTTGTTGTTTCTTGTAGTAAGCACAGCTAAGGAGGCTGGGATGTGAAGCGATAATTACCTCTCTGTACTTTAGGCTCTTTGTCTGTGTTTACGAGTGCATTTAAAGGGAACTTAGTAAAGGCACTGACAGCTTCACTGCAAATCTACTATTACCGGAAAATGTTTGGCAGGCTGCATGATGGGGGTAGCTGTGCAAAATACGGGAGTAGGATGGAAAATGGCCTGTTTTGCCATTGTGACTCTTCCATCTCTGTGTCTTTTTCTGCTCTAGGGTGAGCTATGAGCTAACATGGTTTAGATGAAGTGCAGCTATTATACACAGAGGGTGCATCTACATGTGTACATTTACTGCACAGTAACTGAAAATTACTGAGCAGTACAGGAGCACGTCTACATGTACATGCCTGTATTACATAGTAACTATGGCAATGTATGCCAACTTTGGTGTAAATTTGCTACCTGCATCATGCAGGTAGAAAATTAATGCCCAAGTAGTTACTGCACAGTAACGCACATGTAGATGCATTACTGCACAGTAACACTGTGTGTGTGGACTGACCTGAGACCAACTTTACTCCCAAGTTAGTCCAAACACAGTTACTGTGCTTTAATGCCTGCACATGTAGATGCCGGCCTAAATCCGCTTACTGCGCAGTAATTTACTGCACAGTAAATGCATATGTAGACACACCCAGAGGGATGGGGAATCTACTAAACAGAGACATGCAGTTAGCCATGTTAGTCTGAAGTCTGGCAGAAGGCAGGATTGACACGCACCATATAGACTAGCTAAATAAGACATAGAGACAGTACAAGCTTTCATGAACTTTCGGTCACTTCATCCTCCCTTAACACAGTCCATTAAATGAATTCAAACCCATGAGGTGGCTATCTACCCTGCTTTCCATCTGCTTCTTAGTTAGTCCATAAAGTGCACATCTATCTTGCCTTCGATCTGCTTAACTCCAGATATTGCAGATTCAAAAGGTCAAAGGCAATACTGCATTTGCACTCCGCTTCCCCGAAGGGGTTGTTGAAGGTTGTTGGATGCCCTTCACTGCAGGGGCTGATTTACCTGTCTGGAGGGAAGCAGGGCTGAGGCTCTGCTTCCTTCTCTCCTCCAGATGACCCCGATGGTTGCACCATCCCCGTGGCCAGAACCAGCCTCCACCTGCATCTGTTGCCCTGCACGCCCAGTCCTGTAGGAAGATCGGGAGTGGGTCCCTTGTAGGTCTCTTAAATCTCGGCTTTTGTTTGAACCTGCCTGTCTGGGAAAAAGATCCTGCAAGAAGGAGAAGCCAAAGCTAAGGCTGCTGGTGAATCCTGCCATCCCAGCCTGTGTGCCTCCCTAGGTAAGGGCAGAAGCTGGCATGGAGCAGCCCTCAGGACGTGAAGTCAGCTCTCATCATAGAGACCATAAAGCTTTATTCTGGGCTACACAGAGACATTAGCAGTGCAGGGTCCCGTCCCCCGCCCCGCTCCACTTTTGCATGTATAAGCTATAGCCCATGAATAGAGATGTGCTTTTACTGTAAACTCAAAATAAAATCGCTATTCCACCTACCAGGCAGATACGAGGCACCAAACGTGCTGCTGCTTCTTCACATTATCCAGTTTCATCCCCCTCTTCCCCGCTCCTGCTTCTTGCTTTGGCAATATGAGCAATTAAATACTACATTTACATGCATAATTCAGCAAAAGGGACTGAGCAGCCCAAGCCATGTCATAACCACAATCATCTCAAACCTACACATGCTTCCTGTGAGTAATAGCACGATTCCAGTCCACTCCATGGCAGGTTCACAGTCCTTGCTAGACTAGCTGAGCATCTGCTAGCAATGCATTTAAACAGCATGACTGGCATCTGTCATGGGTTTGTCCTCCCACCTAGGAAGTGTCCTGGAATAGCTTGAGTCAGACCTGCTTTGTAGGACATGTACTCAGCTACATGTTAACGCGGAGAAGGTGAGGGCAAAGAAATGTGCCCTGCACTTGGAGTTCAGGGAGGTCAGGTTTAGCATGGTCCTTCGGGCCGGGGAATGGGGGAGTTATTTCCACAGCCCTTGACTGACCCCGGAGAAAATCTCATCTCTTGTACAGATGTACTTTACCATCCATTTAGTGGGAGCGTTGCCCGCAGATGGAGGACAGTTATTCTTCCCCTCCATTCAGCACTAGGGAGGCCACATCTGGATCCTGTGTCCAGCTGTCGGCCCCCCACTACAGAAAAGGGTGTGGACAATTTGGAGAGACACCAGTGGAGGGCAATGAAAATGGTTGTGGGCTGGGGACAGGACTGGTGAGGAGAGGCTGAGGGAACTGGGCTGATTTTGTCCGCAGAAGAGAAGACCGAGGGGGATTGAACAGCAGCCTTCACCTCCCTGCTGGGGGGGCTGCAAAGAGGATGGAGCTGGACTGGTCTCAGTGGGGGCAGATGACAGGACAAGGAGCAATGGGCTCAAGCTGCAGCAAGGGAAGTTGAGGTTGGATATTAGGAAAAACTCTCTCAGGAGGACGGTAGTAAAGCACTGGACCAGGTTATCCAGAGAGGTGGTGGAGTCTCCATCCTTGGAGGTGTTTAAGACCCAGCTTGACAAAGCCTTGGCTGGGATGATGTAGTTGGGGCTGGTCCTGCTTGGAGCAGGGGGTTGGACTGGATGTGACCTCCTGAGCTCCCTTCCACCCTCCTTGTCTATGATCCTTTCAGGAAGTTTCCCTGTGCCAGGAGTAGCATCTCCATCTCCATAATGGTCTTTGTCAATGGGCTTAGTCCATCATGTTCGCATCATGCTTACCACGTAGTACCAAGCAGCTCTATCAATTCTGCACCATGGTGTTTGCTGTTCAATCACAGCAGCCCGATTTTAACAGCAAAGTAGAGGTGTTACACTGCAAACCAGGACACCCGCATGGGATTCACTCTACTACTGAACAGCCTTTTAACACCATCGAAAGTAAAAGGTTGATTCAATAAACCTTCAGCTCCTCTTGCAGCTTCTGCTGCTATGACATTTGAAATAGTCTAAATCCAGGGTGTGTTTGGCCATCTGGGTTATCTGGGTATTCACGAGTGAGCTGAGTATTTCTCTGAAGCCTAAATATTGGCTGCTTCACTTGTTGAGGGTTTAACGTGCCTTTTTATGCCCAAGTGCTTCTCTAGATGTCCATCTTGGCACATCGCATCGTGGGACACGGGGTTATTTCAGGTCCAGTCATCTCACCTCTCATCTGCACTAAGAAAACCAAATGCCCTGCAGCAATGGGAGAACAGACGTGTGGTCTCTATTTACCAACAATTGGATCCAATACTTGATCGGCCTGGTTAGAAAAAAAAAAGAGAGAGAGAAATGTTTTCTCCATAGATCTTCAGGGCCAAACAAATAAGAACAGAGCCCAGGAGTCATACAGCACAGGAAACCTCAGGGCCTCGTTTAAATCAGCTTAAATCAAATTTATCATCATCTGTGTTTATATGGTCTTTTTTTTTTTTTCTTTTTTAATTATTTCCAGTCAACTGAACTGGAAACATATGTTCCTTCTTGCCAAAAGTCTTGAATTGGCTCGTAATCCTTTGTTTTAACTCGGATCTACAGGTTTTCAGTAGGAGCGTACAAGAGACCTGCACTCCAGGGCACAGATGCCACATCCCTGGTTTCAGGCATCGCAACCCTCAAGTTGAGAGGAGAATCGAGTCCGTTAAGAGCGCACACCGTAAACGGCACCGGCAAGCGCACGAGGCTCGTGCAGCAGCATGCAATGAGCTACCTGCCTTTCACGATGCCCGGGACAAACCAGGTATGCAAGCAACGCCCGGCCGCTAAGCTAGCAGAGCCAGGAGCAGAGACGAGACACTCGCGTCTCTTCCTTGCCAACGTGATGCTATTGCATGAGGATGCGGATAAACAAGGAGACTCGCCGGGTTTTCAGCAGGGTGTTTCAGGGATGCGGCACAGTCCGCTAAATAAAGCCATTTTCCCTCTTCCGCACAGAAGTTGCCCGAAATCATCTTCCAGTGATGTTCAGACTCTCTAGACCTAGATAGTTATTTATATTTTTCCCCTGCAGCACTAGACGAGTTAAAAATAAGAGCCAGGAATGACTTCTGTCATGCCACCGTGAATGCTGCTGCCGTGAGACCTAAGCAAATGGGATTTTAGAGTATGGTAAAAAGCTGTAGTTTGTGCTTTCCTTTGGCTAACGCACTTGCCAGGACATATACACGCAGGGCCGAGCCTGCCGTCCTAGCAAAGTGCGATAGTGTTCTTGGCTGGAAAGCTGACAAGACACCGAATTCCAGATTCAGGAAATGCTCAGCCCTATGATGTGTTCATAATTAAATTTATTTCCCTTGAATGCCACTGTGAGTCTCCCTGGCTTATTGTACTAGGCGGCTGCATGTAAAGGATGAAGCCTGTGGAATCGAATAGATTGATGACATGATTTAAGAACTATCGGGAAAGATTAATTGAATTAAATGGGACTCTCACTAGTTGCCCTAATCTTCTGGAGTGAGCTTGACTGATTTTGCACCTTACCTGCATTCCAAAACCCATACATTATATATGTTTTATATGTTTTTTCCCCAGTTTATTAGGTGCTTTCAGTGTTCAGTCAATTACTACCCACTGGAGGAAAAAAAACTCAGAAATATTTATAGTCTCTTTGATGCCTTGTTTGTTCCTCTCCTTGTTTTATTATAGTGGGGTTGGGTGACCTCTGATGACCACTTTAGAGACATAGGGGTCAAATCCCAGGAGTCTTGCTCAGCCCCCGAGGGCGCTTGTACATGGTGTGTATTGTTTAGATGCACGTAATGAAACGGCACCAAAACTGCCATTTTGCTAAGTTTCATAGTTGTTAGGGTCAGAAGGGACCTCAAGAGATCACTGAGTTAGTTGCATGTGAAAATACACGCTGACGTCTTTTTATTGTGGTAGGTTTTGATTTAGTGTAGTAAATTAGACCACCCCCGACACATTTTATTTTTTACTGTGGGTGAGCTAAAAAGGGGAAGAGGATGGCCCCTCTGGGACCCTTCACTGATGCAGGCTGTAAAGCCTCTCCACAGCTCTGCCCTGGCACTAAGGCTTGGGTCACAAGTGCAGTGCTTGGACGGAGTAGCAGCAAAGCAACACAGGACTGCAAGGGACCTCCAAGGTCTGTCGTACAGCTCCTGGACAATCTTGCATGCATTGGCAGAACTTTTTGGGTCCTGCTCTTTGCAGCGAGAGAGAAAACAATACCTTCAAAGTTGCAGCAAAGTTTAGCTTGGATAATAGGAAAACCCTTCTTCGTTAGAACAAGGAGGCAGTGGAATAGACACCTCGGGCAGCTGTGAAATCTCCATCACTGGAGATGTTCAGGAAGCTGGACAAGCTTTGGTCGGGGATGGTTTAGGCATAGGTATGTCTTTGCTCTACTCTGGGTATTTCCCAGGCCCCTGGGCTTTGCTGGTTGCCACATAGGGCTGGGCTGGGAATGATTTCCCCCCCTCTTGTTGCTGCTTGCGTTAGGGGAGAGGGTTCTCCTTCTGCAGAAGCACTGGGCATTGGTGCAGCCAGGGATGGGGATGGGGACTGGCCTCGGCCAACTGGGACTCAAACCTGGAGGATCCTGGCTAGAGGATCTTGCCCCTTTGCTCAGGGTCGGACTGTCACCATACTTGACATGTATTGGTATGTATTTGACATATTTGGTATGTATTGTACCCCATGGTCAGATTGGTATGGCCGGAGGGGGAGAAGAAGGGGTTGCCTTCCTCTGTAGTGGGGGACGTGACCTCTACCTGGGATCCAGCGAGCATATTTCAATGTGCAACAACAGGATGCTGGCTGCTGTGGTCCCCTGGCTTTACCAGTGTGATGTCTTACGGCTGTCGGGGTTGACAGCGTAGCTTTGCCAATAGGCTAGACCAGCGCTTCTCAACCAGGGTGCCTTGAAATCTTTTCAAAGATGCATTTCATGGCATCTCACGCAAGTACCGTTGGGGTAAAACATGATTCACAAGATAAACCAAGAGATTTCATACAGGAATCCACAGTGTTCAAAACATCTGCCCCGAGCTCTTTGCAACAGAAGAATTGCTCTGTTATTTTGCTGTAGTCAAGAAAAAGAGTGAAAACCAAGAGCTGGCATTTTTTGAGGGCTGTCTTGAGTCTAAAAAGTTTGATAACCGCTGCTGATTTAGTCTGGAGAAGAGAAGACCAAAGGGGATTTGATAGCAGCTTTCACCTCCCTGCCAGGGGGCTGCAAAGAGGATGGAGCTGGACTGGTCTCAGTGGGGGCAGATGACAGGACAAGGAGCAATGGGCTCAAGCTGCAGCAAGGGAAGTTGAGGCTGGATATTAAGAAAAACTCTCTCATTAGGAGGGTGGTGAAGCACTGGGACAGGTTACCCAGAGAGGTGGTGGCATCTCCATCCTTGGAGGCGTTTAAGACCCAAGCAGACAAAGCCTTTTCTGGGATGATGTAGTTGGGGCCGGTCCCGCTTGGAGCAGGGGGTTGGATAGATGCGACTTCTGAGCTCCCTTCCCACCCGTGTTGCCTATGAGTCTATGCCTATCACCAGTGGTGATTTCATATGCCCGCGTTCTCCTGTTAGCAGGGCTAAGATAATTTTTCCATAACTCAAAAGCCTTTCCGGATTGATCCCTTGCACCTCAGGACCCTAAAGTGACCTGCGTGTTCTGGAAAAAGGCCTCTCTGCCATGGGGGTCAGGCCGGGAGAATGACCGATTCTTTATCGGAGGTAAAGACAGCAGGATTTAGGTCCATCGCCCCCAACTCTTTGGGGTTTGTACTGTGTGACCCACTGCCCCCAGCCAGCTCTGGGCTCTCCCCCATGCTGGAAGGGAGCAGCTCGCCGCTTCTCCCCATCTCGGCACCGCTGTGTCTTGCATTTCTTGACACTGTGCAAGGCAGGGAGGGAGGGCGCTCCAGGGATAACAGCATTCCCCCAGGCTCTTCCATCCAGGGTGCCTTTACTGTCAGCTTCAGCCTGTGCAACACCCCTGCAAACACACGCTCTGCATGGGACCCCTGCTCCGGGGGCAATTTCAGCCCCAGCCTATGGACTGCCCTGCGTGATTGCAGCTTGGGAAAGGGATAAGCTGTCATGACAATGAGCCAGAGGCGCCTGCAAAGGCTCCCATGTCATTCCCCTGCTTCAGCAACAAATCAGGGGGGTCTCTCTTTGGATCTCGAGGTGAACGGCTCAGACGGCACTTGCATTTTGTTAGGCATGGCGAAACCAAAGGAGGCTTTCTGCACTTCTCTGCATTCCCGCCCCAGGTTAAACTCTGTAATCTGTTCACTCAGGGACCCGCGCCTGTTGGACAATGGCCGCAAAGAGCATTGCTTGCACTTCTTTGCCTTCTAGCTACTAAATGCAGGGCTCTTTTAGGCCCCTGCTACACGTTATATATATTGCACAATTAACTAATAAATTGCACAATAAATATAGACCAGCCACACATGCCAAGTAAGACCAGCCACAAGTGCAAAGTAATTATCACACTATTAACTGGTGAGTCGCACAATACATTTAGATCAGCCACATGTGCACAGTAATGATCACAAGATAAAAATGGCTATCACTATATAAAGAGAGAGCCAACTATGAAGTTAGTGCTTGAAAATGCACAACTCTAGTGTTGGTTCCTAACCAGCTTTCACTTGAATGTGTAGCAGGGCCCTTAGAAACACAGGGCCAGAGTCTCCTCCTGGGCTACACCATTGCAAATCAAGGATAGCTTCAATGGTCTTTCATGTCCCCTCTCCCAGGGTCCCCCTGATGTGAGATAAGCATGGCCTGGAAGGAACTGCGTCTAGCATCAGGTTCCCTAGGCTTTGGGTATTCCTCATGGACAAGGCAAAGGGGGTTGTCCCTGTCAACACACAGCCACTGCCACCCCTCGAACTGGAGGGAGGTGTGCATCTGCACGGGGTAGGCATTTGCACTGGTGCATTGAGTAAGGGGGCAGAGGTGCGTCCGGTTTGGGGCGCTCGGCGTCGCTCTACCCAAATGGGACACCACGCACCACATTGGAGCCCAACCTCCAGGTTGTAACAGCATATTTCCTGTGGCACTACGGGAATTCATGGATACCCCCCCAGTCACAGTCATGGAGAATAGCTGTACTGCTTGTTGAGAAATACCTCCCAGGGGGACACAGCAATGAGACCCTCCGTGCCCGGCAGCGGCTGCCGTCTCAACGTGGGGGCATTGTCGAGACATGCCCTAAAAGGGCTGCTCTGATTGTCTTTTAATCCCCATGCCACATGCCAGAAAAAGCATGCCTGCTGCCCCGCACGATGGATTGACATTTCCACAAGCTAACGAGCTATGACATTGCACCAGGCGTGATAATTGGACCTCGGGGCCCATCCCTGTTGTGGTCACTCCGGTGGGAATCGGACATTTAGGGGTCAGCACAACTTCCAGATGGCACAAGGGATGTTAAGAAGAAAGAGACGTCCGAGCCTGCAGACTAAATGTGCACCAAGGGAGACGACTCATTATGCACCTGCCTTGTTCTGCCTCGTCTCGTAGTGATTTTAAATAGGTGCAGGGAGAACCGGGGAGGTTCACATCTCCCCTCCAGCTGTCAAATGTGTAGTGTCAGCGGGAGGGGAGGACC